AGGAATAAAGATCACAATCAGTTTGTTTCAACCATATCACAGGTTTCAGCTGATCTGCTTACAGGGAATTCAGCATCTTGTTTTGTATTGTATTTTTTTCCTAGGAAAGTTTGTTTCACTAAGCAGAGCATCTGAACCATGTACTCTATGCTGCTGTATAAAAGCATTTTGAATGTTTCCACGCGTGAAACACTGATATACTTATCTAATCCAGCAGCAGATGGCACGTCACTGTCACCGAGATCCTGACTCCAACAGGGAATTTTAGAGGACAAGTCACACCTGCTCAGTTGCACCAGAGGGAGAATAATACAGAAAAGGTCTGGCAACTTCTAGTGTGTTTTACAGTTGCAGATGCCAGAAACTACTAGTTTTATCTCAAAGATTTCATGGTCTCACACAACTGCATGACTGGGGCTCTCCACAATCGCTTGGCAGAGAGGAAGCCTCCAGTGATCTGAGAAATATTTAAGGGCTGATATTACATCTAAATACAGGACATAGGCCCTTCTGAACACCTTAACTAGACCTTACGCATCCCCTTTGCTATATCTCACCAAATGGCGTGTCAAACATGATTAGGGATTCACTCCATTCTCTGGGTACATGAAAGCAGACAATAATATCAGAGCTCCTGCCCAAGACAAATAAAATCCAGGAATCCTAACGTGCAATTGCGTAACCAACCCACAGTACTCTTTTGTCTGCTGCTAGAACGTCAAATAAAGCCTTTCACATCAATATTCAATCACAAGACAACAGCTCCAAATGTAGTAGTTTTCTTTACCCCTCTCAAGCAGCAGAGTACAGGTCGAGTCCCCGGGGAAGATGGGCCAGATAGAGCTTTTCCTAACAGGTACTGGAACACCATCTGCTGATCAGGTGGTTTAATACATCTGACATCACCTCCAATAAGCCCTCTTCCACTTAAGCCGTGTCCCCAGTTGAGTATACTGCTTACACATTACCCCTTTTTAGAAAACAAAAGAAAAAAAAAAAAAAAAAAAAAAGAAGTATTTTCTTTAAGTTACCCCTTTTTATGAAAAAAAAAAAAAAAAAAAAAAAAAAAAAAAAAGAAGTATCTTCTTTTCCAGAAGGATTTCCATCTCGCAGGAAGAAGGCAGGCAATAGTGCTAGACCTACACCAAGGAAGGTGAGCACGTTCAGCTGGCTGTCCGAAACGAGACCAAGTATCTAGGATGTCAAACCTACTCAAACCTGTTCACTACAGAAACAGTATTGTACCAATGTGAATATTAAGTCTGTGGTAGAACACCTCCTAGCCTGGACAGGAAGGGCAAGGCTGGAACAGGACTCCGATCTTCAGACCTACCTTAATAACAGCCTCCGAAGGCAAAACTATCTTGCTTTATTATGTCACAAATAGAAACACTATAGTAGAGACAAAATCCCTCAGAAAACAATGAACTTTCACATACCCCATGCCATCTCCAAAAAGGACCATAAAGTTATCTCTTCTGAAGTAAGCAAGAAATAAAATTTCTGCTTTTATCTCAGATAATCCACCTCAAATCCACCCAAGAATATTCCATAAATACAAAAACAAAGAGAAAAACCCAAAACAACAACAGCAAAAATAAAAGGGAGAAAGGCCAGCTACCCTACATTTGACGTTAGATTATAATGGCTCACATCTCATAGAGTACTGGTCATGAACTTTGGGTTACTAGCTAAATCAGCTTACTTAAATTTAGTGAAATCCTCTCTGGTAGTGCTTCACTCTTTATTTTGGCTTTTCTTTTCCATTTTTTAGCTGACGTTTGCTACGTCCTCTGTACCTCCAATAGTTTTTGTTTGTTTGTTTGTTTTAAACACCTACATTCTGAGAAAAGACACAGCATCTACTCCTCAGCCAAGAGAGTCTGTTGGTACACTTTACCTCCCCGTGCCCACACCACTCTCCTCTCACTAGGAAGGGTAAGGATATATACCACAGGGAGAGACCTAGTGAAAACTGAAGGCCACGTTACTTCCAAAACCCCGCATCCAGAGTTTCTACACAGGAACTTTCTCAGAAGTGCATATATTAGCAGTTCCACATCTATCCACCTGCAAGTGCAAATCAACTGCGAAGCAATTGCCAAGCTCTGCACTCAGAAAATAGGCAAGGGGAAAAAAACCAACCCACTTCCAGCCTAAAGCTGACCACCGAAAGTGGAATTGAGTTTTCCCACCTAGTATTTTAGCTATGAAAGGCTTAGCTAAGCCCACTGTCTCACCAAAGCTGTACTTAGTAACTGATTTTTATTTTTCATCAAGTGATACACCAAGCTCTTACCAATCTCTGCTGGGATACATTCAGAGCCACATGGCAGCACTCCCCACCTGAAGCACCTGAGATACACCTTCTTTGCATAAAGTTATCAGCATATAGACAGCCTCTGCGGGCAGAAAGCAGCCTGTCTCTCCAGGGAACACCGCTATCCACCAAGCAACCACCAAAAGGCAGTGGCATGCAGTCACTGCTCATTCAGGTTGTATTTGAACTTAAAAGTGAAAGGCTTTATTTTTCAATCATTTCCCAAGCCATCTATTTCACTTCCAGTGAGCGAGAATCTTGAAGCAGGAGCCAGTACAGCTTATAGCAATTTATGTTTGGGGTGCAAAACACAAGAAGGGTGCTTGGTAGTCTTGTCAAACAGTTAAACCCGCGCATGCCATCAGTAAAAAAAATGCATAGCCCTGGTGCAAAGTAAGTCACTAACATACGATCCACTGGTAGAGGACAGGCAGTTCATCCAGTTAGGAGCTAAAGTGCTGTAGGTGAACTAACATTAGGGCTTTATTAAGTCATTCGGCAACCAAGTGTTATTGTCCTACACAGCCTGCTTAAAGTACAGTAAAGCATTTTCAAAGGATTTTAAAAATCAAACTAGTTTGACATACGACAGTACACACCTACACATACTGGCTGCAATAACAGGTGGATTCTGAATTGTAAATAATCCTGCAATTCATTTTTCACACACAAGCAAATAAAAACAGTCAAAATATCACTCAGACTCATATAGCATCCACCAAGCAAGCTTTTGAGAGAGATTTAAAGTAAAGATAATTTAAAAGTCACCTACAATTATAAACAAGACAAGGACACAGACAGGAATAGTCCTTTGATGGACTGTTCCTGACAGGTAGCTTCTGGGATCAAAATGTTGAGCTCTGTAGTCTCCCCACACCAGCTAAAAAGAAGTTATCTGATTAATCTTAGGTTTTGGGGGTGTGGTTATTTTTTCTCTTTTCAAAATTATGTAAAACTCAGGAGCACATCTAGAGAGATATTTTGACTTATTTGCACACGCAACTGGAGCAGGCTCCAGCCACTAATAGTTACAGCACCCAGACAAGATTATATAAATTTTAAGAAGGACTTGAAGCAAAACCAAAAAGGTGGATCTGGTAGAGTCTATCAGAGGCAAAAATATTTTAATATAACAGGAGGAGTTGGCAGAGTCAGACAGTCAAATTCAAAACCTTCCTTAGCAGGTCTGGCAGAAGCAGAAGGGAAGGGCTTTGCAGTTTGTAACGAAGAACTATTACATACATCAGTCTCATCACCTACCCATTCTCCTGTTCTCCCAGGGCACCTACCTTACTGTATGTCACTACCGACAAGTTGTTCGAGTGACTGCTGGGGGAGAGATTTACAGAGTTTTGTGACAGTCCATTCTGATCTTGTTCGATTTGGTCAGGAGCAGGCCCCCATGTGTTTTTGCTGATTGTGCCTAGCTCGGAACCCCCAGGGTCTTTTAGGTTGTTTTCATCTGGTTGCCTGTTCTTCTGTGGAGAGGCGAATGGGTTAAAGTTTCCTTCTACCTTGCGATGCGGCTGCGTGTTGAACTCTGTTTCAAAGGATGACAGCTGCTGTGTTACACCTAGAAGTCCTCCAACTTCCACGCTGAGGATCACCCAGATGACATCTGTGGAAAAAGACAGACACTCAGGTTGTCACTAGGTGGAGTTTTTGAAGAAGGGTGCAAAAGGAGAAAAACAAAACAAATTCCATCCTTTACAATACTAAGAATAAAGAGTGATTGTTTGAAATACATGTTTATCAAGCATCAGAAGTACTGGTTAAACACTAATTTAGTGTCCAATTCTTTCAAGAAAACCAGGCAAGTTTTACTTCTACTGGACTTACATGAACCAGCCAAGCACATATAAAAAACAAACTGACATGGCAACTTGTAGCTCCATATTTCAGATTACCAACAGGATACACTGAAAAAAGAAAACCTTAAATGACTTTACCCAAGGCTACGCAGCAAGACTGAAATGCGAGCCAGGAGATATCACTGCCAGTCTTGTACTCTGATGGTAAAGAAAAGGCAATGGTTTTTGTTTAGCTTTGAAAGGTTTGACTATTAACATAAAACAACAAAAGGGTGACTTAGAAGGTAATTATATTTATGACAATTCACTGCAAAATACACCCATTTCTGTTCCAAAACACTCACAGTAGGTGGATAAGATACCCAGGCTTGGTAGACCATTACACAAATTCACAAGCTACTGGTTAGAATAAAAAACATATTTACAGCTCTTACCTAGTGCATGTCTGTCTCCTATACATAGATAAGATTGTTATTTTACTTACCATTTCATTTACACTTCATGCAAACATTATGGCCTATTTACATAAAGATATTTCTGGGTATGTACCCAAATTCAATTTTATTGCCTGTGTTTTGTTTTGGTTGGGTTTTTTTTTTTGTGTGCGTGTCCCCCGCACCTCACCATTAAGCACACTCCAGTTTTGTTTTGCTGCACAGAGAGGAAGAGTTAAAGATAACAGCAGCAATACCTTATCTCACCTCGGCAGATCTAATAACAGCACCTCATGTCACATGTAATTGTTTCCAGGTTTTCTGCAGTCAAGTGTTAACCTACTAGGGGCTCTTTTGTGCTGCCACAGGTAGTCTGTGGGAGAAGACAGCGGGTACTTCTGCTGCTGGGTTTTACCACCATCACCTCTCAAGCAGCACTAACTCCCTGCAGCTCTCCTTCCAGCCCACGCTGCCCCAGGTTTAACCGGGCTGGGCTCATTACTCTGCATTTTCACAGAATCATAGAATAGTTTAGGTTGGAAAGGACCTTGAAAATCATCGAGTTCCAACCCCCCTGCCATAGGCAGGTACACTTCCCATTAGACCAGTAGCCGTGAACACCTCCAGGGATGGGGCCTCAACAACTTCTCTGGGCAACCTGTTCCAGTGCCTCACCGCCCTCAAAGTGAAAAGTGTCTTCCTAATGTTTAATCTAAACCTGCCCTCTTCCAGTTTAAAGCCATTCCCCCTCGCCCTATCACTACATGCCCTTGTAAAAAGTCCTTCCCCAGCTCTGCTGGAGCCCCTTTAGGGACTGGAAGGGGCTCTAAGGTCTCCCCGGAGCCTTCTCTTCTCCAGGCTGAACCCCCCCAACTCTTTCAGCCTCTCCTCCCAGCAGAGGGGCTCCAGCCCTCGGATCATCCTCGTGGCCCTCCTCTGGACACAGTCCAACAGGTCCATGTCCTTCTTACACTGGGGACTCCAGAGCTGGAGGCAGTACTCCAGGTGGGATCTCAGGAGAGTGGAGTAGAGGGGCACCCAATTAAACACGGTGGGATTCTACCTTCCAAAAAACACAACTTGTTCAAGGACCCCCAGCACCCTGCCGGGGCTGTAACCCCTTTAGAAACACCACTAAGGCTCCATAACCCCCTCCAAGTCCCACACACCGCGGCGCAACGCCCGGCCCGGCCCCACCGCTCGCCCCGCTGGCCCCCGGGGCTAGCAAAGCACCAGCGGGATGATAAACCACCGGGCCGCAGCCCCGGCCGCTTGCCAGGCGCTCACGCAGCTGTTGGGCCTAACCTCCGGGGGATAACTAGCATAAAAGCCATTAATTATCTGGCAGGGGAAGGGCATCTTTGACTCGGGGCTCAGTAGCCAAAGGGATTTTAATTTGTAGGTCGTTTTTCTTTCAAAACGTGCAACTTCAGGAAGTTTAGTAAGGTCTTAAACTGTCTGTCAGCAGCTGGGAGAACCTCGGCTTTATAAACACACAGGCCCATGGCAGGCAGGGCAAGCGGAACCTCGCAGAGGAATTTATGCCCTTTCTTCAGGGACAAGAGACATCCACCTTCGACGCCGGAGAGTCGTACAGCTACTGACAATTCTGCCAAAAACCCTGTGCTTCTGAGCAGAGAGTTATTTTTGACTCCAAGTGCTAACATCTCTCACTCAAACCCGTGTACTCGGGATCCTCCCAACTGCCAAAACAGACACAAAGATGTTCTCAGTATAAACTAAAGCTGGCCAAAAATGACTGAAAGACTCCAAATGAATGAAGATGTTGGTGGCTCAGGCTGAGGCACCAGGCAAAATAGCAAAAAGTGGTTTTTAAACACAAAAACAGTTCACAGTAGATGCACCGAGTTATACTATTAAAACCTGAGCCTTAACTAAACTTCTCAGATGAGGTGTTCACCACTTAAATAGATTTTTATGCCTGTATGTAGTTCACGATGTTTAGCACTGGAAAACTGTGAAAGAATTTTGACAGGGACTGACCGGGAAGAGTCTCCAGGAGAACTGTGCAAGTCCCTTTGTTTTCCAGAGCTTTGTGTAATCAGCAATTTGTTCCAGTGTTTAGAAAACAGTCCTGTGCTGACCAAGACAACAAAGCAGCTCACTTGATGTTTTCTCTGTTCTATTTTCTATATTTAGGCTGAGAGCTGGCAGACCTCTACCTTCAGCACGTGGTTATCAGGAGAGCATCTGCAAGGGGCCAGGAGGGTCCATTTAGTCTGTGGTGGGAATACCACAAAGAACCACCTGAAATGCCGGCAAAGGGATCACTCACCTCCGTAATAGAGTCCTGTGGCAGTGCACATTCGCCACTGTCCCTGATACATTCATGCTGTGCTGGGGCTGACCATCTGAACGCTGACGTCTGCGATCTCCTGGGGCTCCAGGGACCTGACCATCACCATGTTTACGTGGCCAAATTGGTCTCCCCCGACATACTTCAGACAAACCCCTGGGGGCCACGCCTCCGTCCCTGGGATTAAACAGAAGAAAGAATTACTGACAGTGCACCAGGAAAAGCTTTGTGTCTGTTTGTGTAAGACTGGATGAAACATGCTTATTAAAACAGTTGTGCAATTGTTAAGAGCCAAAGGAATACCAAGATACACAGAGCACAGCCAGCAGTGGATGCTGAAGAAGAATACAGTTTTCAGACAAGGCTTAACTGGTCCATTTAGAGACCAGCAGGGCAATTTATATTTCTATTTGAATAACCTCTCGGTCTTCTTTACCCAGAAAAATTCTGAGTCACAGCAAAACAGCTGCAAAACAAAATTTAAGATAACCAACATACACATATATTCTACCAATGCTAGAGACAAAGATGAGGTCAGGCCTAGGTGGGTTTTTTTTCCCTCCTCTCATTTCTTTCTGCTTCCCTACATGTAGCTTCTCAGCCTTGCAATATCAAAATACATGTTAATAATACAAAGTCCTGGAAACATTTTCTTCCAGGGATTCATTCTTTTTTAAGCACTTTAGCAGTCTCAGGAGGAGCTAACAGTTTGAACTATAATTGAAGAGCAGGTACGACTTTCAAAATGGGTTTATTTGCCGTCTTTCACCAACCCTTCTCTCAGCCTTGTGCAAAGGTGGAAAGGATTGCGAACATATGATTTATTTGTGGCGATCGGTGTTTAGACTGCAGATACTGGGACTGACAACGTGACCTGGCAATCTGTAGAGATACAGAAAACAGTTACTGCATGCAAGCACAGCCATCTCCGCCAAAGATAACAAGTACTGGGGCAGACAAAAAGAAAAGCGCTTCGGAGACTCGTGAAAAATCAGTTCAGCAGAATTTTCTTGTGCTTCTTCCCCAGTTACATGACATGACTAAGCCAATGACTTTAAGAATACCTTCTGCTTGGTTAAGGTCGATGGAAGGAGCTAAGGAAAGCCTGAACCACCAGGAAGCTTGGAACTACTCTACGCCTGGTCTGAGACGAGAACGGTGGATGCTGGTCTGACCTCAGGCTACCCCAAAGCGCATCCTTTGCAACAGCTTGCTTGCTAATGTAATCCCTGTGGATACTTCAGCGAAGACACGGCAGGGACTGGTTTTCTGCTCAAGTCCTTATTTGTGGAACTCACAATCTAGCAGGGAAAGCATGATGTGAACAAGCGAAGTGGGATATTTGGAGCGGGGGATATCTCGCTACAGTTGGAAACACTGCCGAGATAGGGAGGTCTCTGAAAGAGGAGCCGAGTCTGAGCTGACCTCAGACTATGGCGTGTGGGAGTTGAGTATGAAGTCTCATCTGAAAAGGTTGGCAGCCCAGCAACATGGTTCAGTTTAAATAATTTATGTGATTTTTATCGGTTTTAATGGCTTTAGGCTTGCAAGGTGCCTAGAACACTGCAACTGATAAGCCTCATAAAATGAAATGATGATTATGTCATTCTATTTCAGTACACTCATCTCTCAGGAGATGATAAATTGTAGTAAGTGTCCTGCAGAGCCAGCAGCAGCTGGGGGTAGAGTGGGAAGAGGAAATAAGTCTGTTAAATCCTGCTGCTCTTTCAGCAATGGTTCTACTATACAAACTGGTCTTTTGGCAGACAAGCCAAGCACCGTCCTGGAAGATATCAGAATAGGGTACTACTTAATAACGCATATGAAAACCTGACTGAACCTAGCTTACTGCTTGCATGCTTAAAACTGACAATCTCTCCAAGCTCTGCTTGTCACGCTTGTCAGACACTAAATGCTTTGGTGACACATGCCTCAGGTATTTCGTGTTCTAGAACTGAAGTCATGTAATCAAGGGTTCCTGTAGAGCTGTTAAAACCCTTGGCTTTGCTTCAGTTATCTACCTAACAAGCAGATATTATCTAGAAACACTATAGTCCTTTGATATCATACCTTAATTAAACCATAAAATGGTTTTAAAGTGCTACGGCCCTCCTTAAACTGCACAGTCATAAATGCAACTTCACATACTATGTTAACTAAAACATGCCTCAACAGCATGGTTTCAACAAGATCTGGCCTCCAGCACCACTGTTAAGAGTACAGATGTACTTTTTAAGAAGCCAGGCTTTAACCCACATGGAAGCCAGAACAAATGTTGGCCTTGCCAGGAACTTGTAAGTCAAGATTAACTCCTTCTCCTCACTTTATAAGACCCATGGATTTCAGAAGGTCAAACATTCCAAGAACAATGAAACATTGCTTGACTAGGATGTTAAATTAAGGCTGAATTTGCATGCAGGAAAGGCAACATCAGAGGAACAAGAGAGGAAGGAGTCTAAAAGGAACAAGATAGGGGTGTAGCTGTAAGACACACAAATTAAGATACTAATAGTGGAGAAACAAGATCTGTCAAACTTACTACATTTGTAAGACTTGTATTTGAGACAGTTATAAAAAGATTGCCAGTCAGTTTTTCACATTACTGGAGTTCAAGCAAGCTATGTGTCACCTTTCCATTGTACTCATTCAAAAAAAACAGAGGCAGAAAAAGCAAAGGGAAGTAATTAGCCCTTTCTATAGAATACAGTCTTTATAAATTAGTGTTCTTAAACACCCTTCCCCCAGCTCTTCTCACCTGTATGT